TATGTCAGTTAGCCTATCAGAAGCTTCTAAAGCCATGACATCATTTTCTGGAATTTTCCAAGCTGTTTAAAGGCACAGTCAACTTAGTGTATGTAAACTTCTGACCCACTGGAATTGTGATACAGTGAATTATAAGTGAAATCATCTGTCTGTAAACAATTGTTGGAAAAATTACTTGTGTCATGCATAAAGTAGATGTCCCGACCAACTTGTCAAAACTATAGTTTGTTAACAATACATTTGTGGAGTGGTTGAAAAAAGAGTTTTAATGACTCCAACCTAAGTGTATGTAAACTTCCGACTTCAACTGTATAAATACTAGCCAGCAGCTGTCCTCCTCCGGATCTGTCTTTTATACTGTGTGTCTGTAGAAGTTGTACTGTTCTGGATTTCAAGAGCTGGATTGTCCTGATATAGGGTATAGTACAGCAGAGACAGGTCTTACACTCTCCTCTCCTCTCCTCTCCTCTCCTCTCCTCTCCTCTCCTCTCCTCTCCTCTCCTCTCCTCTCCTCTCATTTTACATTTACATTACATTTTAGTCATTTAGCAGACGCTCTTATCCAGAGCGACTTACAGTTAGTGAATACATATTTTTTTATACTGGCCCCCCGTGGGAATCGAACCCACAACCCTGGCGTTGCAAACGCCATGCTCTATCAACTGAGCTACATCCCTGCCGGCCATTCCCTCCCCTACCCTGGACAACGCTGGGCCAATTGTGCGCCGCCCATGAGTCTCCCGGTCGCGGCCGGCTGCGACAGAGTCTGGATTCGAACCAGGATCTCTAGTGGCACAGTTAGCACTGCGATGCAGTGCCTTAGACCACTGCGCCACTCAGGAGCGCACTCTCCTCTCCTCTCCTCTCCTCTCCTCTCCTCTCCTCTCCTCTCCTCTCCTCCACCCAACAGGTCTTTACACAGTTAGCACAGTTAGCACTGCGATGCAGTGCCTTAGACCACTGCGCCACTCAGGAGCGCACTCTCCTCTCCTCTCCTCTCCTCTCCTCTCCTCCACCCAACAGGTCTTTACACATCAGTTGTTGTAAGTGGATGCATGTGGTGCTCTGTTTGTTTATTGAAGAAGCTGGTGCCAAATTCAGATGGAGAGCTAATACTAGTAGGCTCGATCTCTTTAAGATCAATAGAAACCTGTTAGGATAGCTGGGATTAGTACTGGAGTAGTGTTCACCTGTTAGGATAGCTGGGATTAGTCCTGGAGTAGTGTTCACCTGTTAGGATAGCTGGGATTAGTACTGGAGTAGTGTTCACCTGTTAGGATAGCTGGGATTAGTACTGGAGTAGTGTTCACCTGTTAGGATAGCTGGGATTAGTACTGGAGTAGTGTTCACCTGTTAGGATAGCTGGGATTAGTCCTGGAGTAGTGTTCACCTGTTAGGATAGATGGGATTAGTACTGGAGTAGTGTTCACCTGTTAGGATAGCTGGGATTAGTCCTGGAGTAGTGTTCACCTGTTAGGATAGCTGGGATTAGTACTGGAGTAGTGTTCACCTGTTAGGATAGCTGGGATTAGTACTGGAGTAGTGTTCACCTGTTAGGATAGCTGGGATTAGTACTGGAGTAGTGTTCACCTGTTAGGATAGCTGGGATTAGTACTGGAGTAGTGTTCACCTGTTAGGATAGCTGGGATTAGTCCTGGAGTAGTGTTCACCTGTTAGGATAGCTGGGATTAGTACTGGAGTAGTGTTCACCTGTTAGGATAGCTGGGATTAGTACTGGAGTAGTGTTCACCTGTTAGGATAGCTGGGATTAGTACTGGAGTAGTGTTCACCTGTTAGGATAGCTGGGATTAGTACTGGAGTAGTGTTCACCTGTTAGGATAGCTGGGATTAGTACTGGAGTAGTGTTCACCTGTTAGGATAGCTGGGATTAGTCCTGGAGTAGTGTTCACCTGTTAGGATAGCTGGGATTAGTACTGGAGTAGTGTTCACCTGTAAGGACAGCTGCTAGACTGAGCTCTGTGAGCTGTCCAGGCAGTGCTTGTGATTGTGATCCAGGGTGAACGCTTAGTTGTGTTTTTTAATTGATTGATTAATTGTGTCTAGGAGGAGTTGAGGAGGTTCCGGGGCCGTGTGGAGGAGGTGGTGCAGGAGAACCAGAAGTTACACCAGGACCTGAAACAGACAGGAGGAGTCAGCCACAAGGAGTGGTGAGTACTTTGGCTGTCTCTCTCTGTCTCTGTCTCTGTCTCTGTTTCTGTCTCTGTCTCTGTCTCTGTCTCTGTCTCTCTCTGTCTCTCTCTCTCTCTGTCTCTGTCTCTGTCTCTCTGTCTATGTCTCTCTCAGTCTCTCTGTCTCTATGTCTGTCTGTCTGTTTGTCTCTGTGTGTGTGAGAGAGAAGAGAGAGAGAGAGAGAGAGGAGGAGAGAGAGAGAGAGAGAGAGAGAGAGAGAATAAAGATATAGAGAGAGAGAGATAGAGAGAGCTAGATGATATATATGTAGATAATCTTCTATATCTATCTCTCTCTCTACTTCGTCATCTCCTATATCTATCTCTCTCTCTCTCTCTCTCTATCTCTCTATCTCTCTCTACTCTTCTCTCTCTCTCTCTCCATCGCTGAGATTAGTGATACCCTGTTCTTGCTTTTTTTTCTCTCCCCCCCCCCTATTCGTCTGTCTACAAACAGGCTCTCAAAGTGCTTGATAGAAGCCCAATACCATCATCACTGGTCACTCCTGAGAAAGCATTAGCTCCCTGAGCTGGGAAATCTTGTGCAAACAACCAACCGATTCATGTCTTGTATTCAAGATCCCTAAATGGCTTGGCTCCCCCTCCACTCAGTATTTTTGTTAAACAGAAAACCCAAACATATGGCAGCAGATCCACAAGGTCTGCCATGAGAGGTGACTGTGTAGTTTCCCCTAAGGAAAAGCACCTTTAGTAAATCCGCTTTTTTCTGTGAGAGCTTCCCATGTCTGGAATACACTGCCATCAGACACACACAACTGCACCACATATCACACTTTCACAAAATGCTTGAAGACATGGCTAAAGGTCAATCAGATTTGTGAACATGGTCCCTAGCTGTGTGTTGCCGCTTTCCATGTCTGTTGTCTGTAACTTGTGAGGTGTGGAAACACTTTGTTGCTTTTATGAATTTTGTCTTGCTGCTTTTTGTTCTATGTTGCTCTGTCTGTATGCTACGTCTTGCTTGTCCTATGTTGCTATGTCTGTATGCTATGTCTTGTTCTATGTTGTTATTGTCTAAATTGTTTTTAATAACCTGCCCAGGGACTGCGGTTGAAAATTAGCCGGCTGGCTAAAACCGGCACTTTTACTGAAACGTTGATTAATGTGCACTGTCCCTGTAAAAATAAACTCAAACTCAACTCAACTCAACTCTCCTCCCCCTTTCCCTCCCACTCCCCCTCCTCTCCTCCCACTCCCCCCTCCTCTCCTCCCACCTCCTCCCTCCCACTCCCCCTCCTCTCCTCCCACCTCCCCCCTCCTCTCCTCCCCCTTTCCCTCCCACTCCCCCTCCTCTCCTCCCACTCCCCCCCTTTCCTTCTCCTCATCCTCCCCCTCCTCTCCTCCCTCCTCCTCCCCCCCTCTCCCTCCCCTTTCCCTCACACTTCCCCCTCCTCTTCTCCTCCTCCCCCTTCCTCTCCTCCCTCCCCTCCCCCCCCCCCTCCCCCCATTCCTCTCCTCCCCTCCCACTCCCCCTCCCTCTCCGTCCCACCTCCTCCGTCCCCTCCCCCTCTCATCCTCCACCTCTCCCCCCCTCCTCTCCTCCCTCCCCCTCCCCCCTCCTCTCACTCCCCCTCCCCCTCCCTCTCCCTCTCCTCCCCCCCTCCTCGTCCTCCCTCCCTCCCCCCCTCATCCTCCCCCTTTCTCATCCCCACCCTCAGGCGCCCCCCCCCACCTCTTCACTACCTCCCCCCCTCCTCGTCCCTCCCTCCCCTGCACACCTCCCCTCCCGCCTCCCCCCTGCTCCATCTCCCCCGGGTCAAAGTCCCCCCTCCCCCCCTCCGTCGCCCATCCCCGCCCTCCTCCCTCCCCGTACCCCCCCCCGTCCTCTCCTCCCACCTCTCCTCCCCCCTCCTCTCCTCCCTCCCCTCCCCCCTCTCCTCCCCAGGAGGCAGCTCCAGGAGCAGGCCCGTCTGGTACTTCAGGAGAACCAGGTCCTGATAGACCAGCTGGAGGTGCAGCATGCTAAGGCTAAGGACAGTCACGGGAGACATTTGACTGAGGGTAGGGAGGGACAGACACCAGTAATCCCCACTTTCAGATTCTACTATATAAACTAGCTATATTCTGTTTGTACATTCTATACAGTATCAAATTGTCGTTCTCAAACCCTGCTGTAGGTGTATTATAGAATTCTTCACAGATTTGAAAGTTATCAAGGATCTCCATTAACTGTTCCCCCCCTCCCTCCACCTCCCTCCCTCCGTCCTCCTCTCTCCTCTCCTCCCCTCCTCTCTCCTCTCCTCCCCTCCCTCCTCCCTCCTCTCCTCTCCTCTCCTCTCCTCTCCTCTCCTCTCCTCTCCTCTCCTCTCCTCTCCTCTCCTCTCCTCTCCTCTCCTCTCCTCTCCTCTCCTCTCCTCTCCTCTCCTCTCCTCTCCTCTCCTCTCCTCTCCTCTCCTCTCTCCCTCCTTCGCCCGCTCCTCCCTCCTCCCCCTCTCCGTCCCCCCCTCCCTCCTCCTCTCCCTCTCACTTCCTCTCCTCTCCTCTCCTCTCCTCTCCTCTCCTCTCCTCTCCTCTCCTCTCCTCTCCTCTCCTCTCCTCTCCTCTCCTCTCTCCTTCTCTCCTCCTCCTCCCTCCTCCTCCCCCCTCCTCCCCCCTCTCCAGTCTCTAAGGTGTGTAAGCAGCTGATGTTGCTGGAGGCAGAGAAGCAGAGGCTGGAGGGGGAGCTGGAGGAGACGAGGCGAGAGCTCCACACTCTGCAGGCAGAACACCTCCAGACACGGTGCAGTCTGGAGAACGCTGTCAGCTGGGACGAACACCACGCTATCGCAACCAAACTCAAACGGTAGATGGTTATAAATACACCGACTCAAACGGTAGATGGTTATAAATACACCGACTCAAACGGTAGATGGTTATAAATACACCAACTCAAACGGTAGATGGTTATAAATACACCGACACAAACTGTACAAAGATACTGACTGACACAAACTCAAACAGTAGATAGATTCGCTACAGACTCCCCAGACTAACTTCAATGGACCTTCAGAGGAAGAGTCTTCAAATACATTTTGACATTTTAGTCATTTAGCAGACGCTCTTATCCAGAGCGACTTACAGTTAGTGAGTGCATACATTTTTCATACTGGCCCCCCGTGGGAAACGAACCCACAACCCTGGCGTTGCAAGCACCATGCTCTATCTGGGCCCACCATGGGAAACGAACCCACAACCCTGGCGTTGCAAGCACCATGCTCTATCTGGGCCCACCATGGGAAACGAACCCACAACCCTGGCGTTGCAAGCACCATGCTCTATGAACTGAGCTACAGGAGGGCTCAGCTGACTGGGTCTGAATAAATCCATTCATTAAGAGCCAGAGAGGACCAGGTATACCCAGAGAGGACCAGGTATACCCAGAGAGGACCAGGTATACCCAGAGAGGACCAGGTATACCCAGAGAGGACCAGGTATACCCAGAGAGGACCAGGTATACCCAGAGAGGACCAGGTATACCCAGAGAGGACCAGGTATACCCAGAGAGGACCAGGTATACCCAGAGAGGACCAGGTATACCCAGAGAGGACCAGGTATACCCAGAGAGGACCAGGTATACCCAGAGAGGACCAGGTATACCCAGAGAACAACATCCTCTAACCGACTCCATCCACCACCCGTTACGTCTCTTTCATTGGATATTCCTTTCATCAAATATTGCCTTTATAAATTGGACCTATTAGACTAATTTACTTTTAGTGATAACCTTTCCATTCCACTCTATTAATTGGCTCAAATGACTTGTAAGACTTCCAGCTGAATACTTCATGAATTGGACTGCATCCCAAATGGTACCCTCTTCCCTACATACTGTACTACTTTGATCAGGGCCTATAGGGGGTGTAGTGCACTATATAGGGAATGGGGTGCCGTTTGGGACACAGCCTTAGAGTGGTATATGTAGCTGACTGCATACCACCCTATATCACACAGAGACACTATATACTGTCATAAGTTCCTTTTCACACCAGACAGACAGATCACATGACTATTCTGTTATCAGAGCTGAGATTACAGACAGATCACATGACTATTCTGTTATCAGAGCTGAGATTACAACTAGACCGACAGATCACATGACTATTCTGTTATCAGAGCTGAGATTACAACTAGACCGACAGATCACATGACTATTATGTTATCAGAGCTGAGATTACAACTAGACAGACAGATCACATGACTATTATGTTATCAGAGCTGAGATTACAACTAGACAGACAGATCACATGACTATTCTGTTATCAGAGCTGAGATTACAACCAGACAGACAGATCACATGACTATTCTGTTATCAGAGCTGAGATTACAACTAGACCGACAGATCACATGACTATTATGTTATCAGAGCTGAGATTACAACTAGACAGACAGATCACATGACTATTATGTTATCAGAGCTGAGATTACAACTAGACAGACAGATCACATGACTATTCTGTTATCAGAGCTGAGATTACAACCAGACAGACAGATCACATGACTATTATATTATCAGAGCTGAGATTACAACTAGACCGACAGATCACATGACTATTCTGTTATCAGAGCTGAGATTACAACTAGACCGACAGATCACATGACTATTATGTTATCAGAGCTGAGATTACAACTAGACAGACAGATCACATGACTATTATGTTATCAGAGCTGAGATTACAACTAGACAGACAGATCACATGACTATTCTGTTATCAGAGCTGAGATTACAACCAGACAGACAGATCACATGACTATTCTGTTATCAGAGCTGAGATTACAACTAGACCGACAGATCACATGACTATTATGTTATCAGAGCTGAGATTACAACTAGACAGACAGATCACATGACTATTATGTTATCAGAGCTGAGATTACAACTAGACAGACAGATCACATGACTATTCTGTTATCAGAGCTGAGATTACAACCAGACAGACAGATCACATGACTATTATGTTATCAGAGCTGAGATTACAACTAGACAGACAGATCACATGACTATTATATTATCAGAGCTGAGATTACAACTAGACAGACAGATCACATGACTATTCTGTTATCAGAGCTGAGATTACAACTAGACAGACAGATCACATGACTATTCTGTTATCAGAGCTGAGATTACAACTAGACCGACAGATCACATGACTATTCTGTTATCAGAGCTGAGATTACAACTAGACAGACAGATCACATGACTATTCTGTTATCAGAGCTGAGATTACAACTAGACAGACAGATCACATGACTATTCTGTTATCAGAGCTGAGATTACAACTAGACAGACAGATCACATGACTATTCTGTTATCAGAGCTGAGATTACAACTAGACAGACAGATCACATGACTATTCTGTTATCAGAGTTTAGATCGTGGTGAGACGAGATGGCTTAATTCATCCTATGTTGTCAGTAAGCCTGTAGGTTTTCCTCATACTCAGTGTTTGTAGGGCGTTACTTCAGACGTGGTCATAGATTTAGACGTGGCCTCAAAATGTCAGCTACCCTCCTGTTCTGGGTTTGGTACTGCAGTAAACCCACTGTTAGACTATTGATCAGCTACCCTCCTGTTCTGGGTTTGGTACTGCAGTAAACCCACTGATAGACTATTGATCAGCTACCCTCCTGTTCTGGTTGGTACTGCAGTAAACCCACTGTTAGACTATTGATCAGCTACCCTCCTGTTCTGGTTGGTACTGCAGTAAACCCACTGTTAGACTATTGATCAGCTACCCTCCTGTTCTGGGTTTGGTACTGCAGTAAACCCACTGATAGACTATTGATCAGCTACCCTCCTGTTCTGGGTTTGGTACTGCAGTAAACCCACTGATAGACTATTGATCAGCTACCCTCCTGTTCTGGGTTTGGTACTGCAGTAAACCCACTGATAGACTATTGATCAGCTACCCTCCTGTTCTGGGTTTGGTACTGCAGTAAACCCACTGTTAGACTATTGATCAGCTACCCTCCTGTTCTGGGTTTGGTACTGCAGTAAACCCACTGATAGACTATTGATCAGCTACCCTCCTGTTCTGGGTCTGGTACTGCAGTAAACCCACTGTTAGACTATTGATCAGCTACCCTCCTGTTCTGGGTTTGGTACTGCAGTAAACCCACTGATAGACTATTGATCAGCTACCCTCCTGTTCTGGGTTTGGTACTGCAGTAAACCCACTGTTAGACTATTGATCAGCTACCCTCCTGTTCTGGGTTTGGTACTGCAGTAAACCCACTGTTAGACTATTGATCAGCTACCCTCCTGTTCTGGGTTTGGTACTGCAGTAAACCCACTGTTAGACTATTGATCAGCTACCCTCCTGTTCTGGGTTTGGTACTGCAGTAAACCCACTGTTAGACTATTGATCAGCTACCCTCCTGTTCTGGGTTTGGTACTGCAGTAAACCCACTGTTAGACTATTGATCAGCTACCCTCCTGTTCTGGTTGGTACTGCAGTAAACCCACTGTTAGACTATTGATCAGCTACCCTCCTGTTCTGTTTGGTACTGCAGTAAACCCACTGTTAGACTATTGATCAGCTACCCTCCTGTTCTGTGTTTGGTACTGCAGTAAACCCACTGTTAGACTATTGATCAGCTACCCTCCTGTTCTGGGTTTGGTACTGCAGTAAACCCACTGATAGACTATTGATCAGCTACCCTCCTGTTCTGGGTTTGGTACTGCAGTAAACCCACTGTTAGACTATTGATCAGCTACCCTCCTGTTCTGGGTTTGGTACTGCAGTAAACCCACTGATAGACTATTGATCAGCTACCCTCCTGTTCTGGGTTTGGTACTGCAGTAAACCCACTGTTAGACTATTGATCAGCTACCCTCCTGTTCTGGGTTTGGTACTGCAGTAAACCCACTGATAGACTATTGATCAGCTACCCTCCTGTTCTGGGTTTGGTACTGCAGTAAACCCACTGTTAGACTATTGATCAGCTACCCTCCTGTTCTGGGTTTGGTACTGCAGTAAACCCACTGTTAGACTATTGATCAGCGCTACCCTCCTGTTCTGGGTTTGGTACTGCAGTAAACCACTGTTAGACTATTGATCAGCTACCCTCCTGTTCTGGGTTTGGTACTGCAGTAAACCCACTGTTAGACTATTGATCAGCTACCCTCCTGTTCTGGGTTTGGTACTGCAGTAAACCCACTGTTAGACTATTGATCTGCACCATATAACAGAGATGTGGAACATGACTTAGGGGCTGTAGATGGCTTTAATTATCAACTCACACATCTCAAACACTAAAAGTGTGTGTGTATGTGCGTGTTTGTGTGTGTGTGTGTATGTGTGTGTGCATGCATGTATGCATGCATGTCTGTGTGTTTGTGTGTTTGTGTGTTTGTGTGTTTTGTGTGTGTGTGTGTGTGTGCATGTCTGTGTGTTTGTGTGTTTTGTGTGTGTGTGTGTGTGTGTGTGTGTGTGTGTGTGTGGGGGCTCTCTACTCTAGCCAACTGGAGGCTGATTCAGGCCGTCAGCAGAGTGTGGTCGAGGAGCTGCAGCAGAGAGTGACTAGTCTACAGACAGAGAAGAACCGTCTGGGGTTGGACAAAACCAACCTGGCTGCTGACATCCAGAGGATGGATGCCGAACTGGAGGTGTCTCGACATGCCAACAGGTACACAGACCCTGACCTCTGACCTTAACCCTGACCCTAACCTCACTGCTGACATCCAGAGGTTGTGATGTCTCGACATGCCAACAGCTAACTAGAGACAGAGGTTATATCCCAAATGGCACCCTATTCCCTATATAGTGTACTACTTTTGACCAGAGCCTTATGGGAACTGCCAAAATGGTATG